TGGACCGTCGGAGAACAGAGGACCGGCGGGAGGATGAGGACCTTCTCACCTACACCGCTAAGGACCCTGCATGGATAAGGGAGGGCGCCAGGGCGGCCGCTTCCCCCACGAAGGACCCCGGACAAGGAGGGGGAAGGCCAGGCCCCGCGGCGCCCGGGCCCAGGACCTGTGGGTATACAGGATCCGGGAACTGGGCGCCGGGCTGGAGGTGGCCACCGAGCCGAACTAGGTGCCGATCAGCAGCGAATGCTGGTTCGGCAGCCCGGACAGCTCGGTGGCCATGGCGGTTGACCCTGCAGCGGGGACACCTCCCTGTGTTTTAAGGGAAAAGGGGTCCTCGTACGTGGCGGTCGACTGGGGGCCTATAACTGTGGTGGGGGTATATCTCCCCCACCACAGGAACAAAGCCGGGCTTGGCGAACTGCCCGCATTAAAGGGATCCTAGACAGGATCGGGGATTTGGTGCGCAAGTGCCATCCCCGACCTGTCGTGATTGCCGGTGACTTCAACGCCCACTCGTAGGAGTGGGATGTAGTCCCCGGCAACGGGATCCCAGGGGCAAGGTCGTCATCGGCTGGGCGGCGGGATTGGGCCTTCTGTTGTTAAACGGAGGGTCCACCGGCACCTGTATAAGGCCGGGAGGGGGGGTCATCGGTCATTGATTTGACTTGGGCCTCCCTCTCGGCTGCAAGGTTGGTCTCCGAATGGAGGGTGGAGGTGGAGGGCGAGACGTTATCTGACCATAGATATATAGTCTGGGCCCTCCACCTCCCCAAACCAAAACAGGTGTCGGCTCGCCGCCCAGGGGAGAGGAACTTTCCTCTCCCCAAAAATGGGTCCTTAGTCGACTAGATGTGGACAGGTTCAGGGCTGCTGTCCTTGTGGCCACCTGGCACATAGAGCTAGGTGAGTGGGACCCCGGCCCCTAGAGGGGGCCGGGGAGATAACGGGGATAGTGGCGTCAGCATGCGACGCCGCGATGCCCCGTTCCCATCCCCGTCGGCGCCGGGCAGCGTATTGGTGGTCGGAGGAAATAGCGAGATTTCGCAGTGACTCCGACCGCGCCAGAAGGGCATATACGCGTGCCCGGCGACGAGAAGGGGATGCCACAGTGGCAAATGAGGACTACCTTGCCGCCAGGGTAGTCCTTAAGAAAGCCATCAGAAAGGCCAAGCGGGAAGCCTGGGAGCAACTGGTGAGCTCCCTGGATGACGATCCGTGAGGGCGCCCATACAAGAGGACGATGGGGTAGATCCGTCCCTGGGCGCCCCCGTAGACGGAGACGTTAGATCCCCAGGCCCTCGATGGGCTCCTGGACGCCCTCATTCCTAGGGCGGAAGGAGGCCCCGCCGTGATCCCTTCCCCAGAGATGGGGGAGGGAGACTGGGACGAGGGCCTGGAGGTCACTCCAGAGGAGCTCGCCAAGGCCCGGAGAAAGCTCGGTGGCAAGGGCAAAGCCCTTGGCCCCGATGCGATTTCGGGCCGCGCCTGGGCTCTCGCGTTGGCCGAAGGGGACCTGTTCGCAGCCACATATAGGGTCATGACAGGATGCCTCAGGGAGGGGGTTCCCCCCTAGAGTGGAGGAGGGCCAATTTGGCCGAAGGAGGGCAAGGAGCCCGGTAGTGCGTCAGCCTACAGGTCGATTTGCCTGCTGGACGAGGCGGGCAAGATGCTGGAGCGCATCATCGCGGACCGCCTCGTCCAGCACATGTCCTCGAGTGGGCTGGACCTCCACGACCGCCAGTACCAGTTCAGGCCTGGACGATCCACGCTGGATGCAATCCAGTGGGTCCGGGACCTGACCCGGGCGGTCGTGGAGATAAGGGGCGGGGTCGTTAGACATAATCTAACGCCTTCAACACCCTGCCCTGGCCGGAGATAGGACGGGCTCTCGAGCAATTCGGGGTGCCCGCCTATCTCCGACGGATAATGACCGCCTACTTCGGGGACAGAGACCTCGCCTTCACGAAAGAAAGCGGGGTTCAAGGCTGACGCACTATGGAGCGCGGTGTCCCGCAAGGGTCGGTGCTCGGCCCCCTGCTATGGGACATCGACTTCAACCGGGTTTTTCGCACTCCGCTCCTCGACGGCTGCCACGTCGTCTGCTATGCAGACGACACGTTAATGGTGGCCGAAGGGGAGAACTGGGGGGAAGCCTGCTTCCGTGCGGAGGTGGCAGTGGCATCGGTGGTGGGAACCATCGGAGACCTGGGTCTCAAGGTGGCGCCCCAGAAGGCTCAGGCTGTGTTCTTTCACGGCCGGTGTCGGGGGGCGCCGCCGGAGACCCGGGTCCTAGTCGATGGCGTCCACTTCCGCGTCGGGCCGACGATGAAATATCTCGTCCTGACGCTGGACAGCCAATGGTCATTTGGGCCTCACTTCAGGCAGCTGGCCCCCAGGGTGCGCAAAGCCGGACTGGCTGTAGCCAGGCTGATGCTGCCCAAGGGGGCCCAGGATGGCATGTTCGCCGCCTGTATGTCGGTGTGCTCTCGATCGCCCAGTATGGGGCGCCCCAGCTGCTGGCCACTGCGGTGGCCAGACGGCTCATGAGGCAGGCCCTCAGGCCTCTCATGATCAGGGCGATTTGAGGGTACCGTATAGTGTCATACATGGCGGCGACACCCTGGCCGGCTCCCCCCCCCTTGTGGAGCTTCTGGCCGAGGAGAGGCGCGTCCTCTACTGGCGGGTAAAGAGCTCCGCGAGTGGAGAGTGCCGACGGCCAGGGGCCTGAAGGCCCTAATGACCCAGGTCAGAGACCGAACCCTGGAGCGGTGGGAAGGCGTGCTAGCCGACCCCCGAGTGTTCGGTCTCGCAATGGCCGAGGCTGTCCGCCCCTGTCTGTCCGAAGTGGCAGACAGGAGGGGGCGTGGAATGTCCTTCCACTTGGTGCAGGTATTGACCGGGCATGGTTGCTTCGGGAGATACCTGCACCGGATAAGGAAGGTGGCCATCGCTCGGTGCCACCACTGCCCCGAGCAAGAGGACTCGGCGCTGCATACCCTAGCTGCCTGCGCAGCATGTGATGAGCAGCGCCGTGTCCTGCTCGGGGCGGGGAACTGCCGTGACGGGGAGCTCTCGCTCCCGCACCTAGTGCGAGCTATGTGCGGGGCGAAGCCGTGATCGAGTGGGCAGCGGGACTCGATTTCTTGTTGATGAACAGGAGGTCGACCAGCACCTGTGTGCGGCTGAATGGGGGGTCGGTCATAGACCTGACATGGGCTTCCCCTTCGGCCGCCCGAATGTTCCGGGAATGGGCGGTGGTGACCGCGGTCGAGACTTTATCTGATCATAGATATATAGTCTGGTCCCTCGATCCCACCGACCCTCCGCAGGTGCTGTACAGCCGCCCAGAGGGGGATTGAGCTCCCCCACAGGTGAGCCCTCAGCCAACTGAATTCGGACATGTTCCAGGCGGCCATCGTCGTGGCCACGTGGCACCTCGGAGAGGAGTGGGACGCCAGCCCCCAGGAGGGGGACAGGCAGATGGTGGGCATCGTCGGCGCTGGGCTGCCTACTGGTGGACGGCGGCAATCGCAGAGCTGCGTGAAGCCGCCTTCCAGGCCAAGCGGGAAGCTGTTCGGGCTCGGCGACGAGACGAGGTCTCCACCGAGGAAAAAGAGGGCTATCGTCGCGCGCGAGATGCCCTCAAGGCCACTATAGCCGAGACGAAGGCGGGAGCCTGGGAGCAACTGATGAGCTCCCTGGACGAGGTCCCGTGGGGGCGCCCATGCGAGAGGATGGTAAGATACGTCCGTGGGCGCCCCTACCTACGGAGTCCATGGAACCAGAATCTCGAGGGGCTCCTCGACACCCTCTTCCCGAAGGTGGCGGGGCCGGATCCCCGCCCCTGAGGATGGGGATTAGAGTGAAGACCTGGATATCGGTCCGGAGGAGCTCGTCAGTGCCAGGAAGAAGTTGGACGCCAGGGGCAAAGCCCCCGGCCCGGACGGCATTCCTGGTCGCGCCTGGGCTCTCGTCCTCGGCGACAGGAGCATGTCTGAAACCACGAGGGAAGTGATGAACAGGTGCCTCAGGGAGGGCGTCTTCCCCCCAGTGTGGAGGAGGGCCAAGTTGATTCTCCTCCCGAAAGCGAGCAAAACACCCGGAGGACCGCCGGCCTTTAGGCCGATTTGCCTGCTGGAGGAGGCGGGTAAGATGCTGGAACGCATCATCGCGGGCCTCGTCCGACAGATGTCCTCAGAGGGGCCGGACCTCCACGACAGGCAATACAGGTTCAGGCTCGGACGATCGACGCTGGATGCTATTCAGCACATCCGGGACCTGACCCGTGCCGTCGTAGAGGAGAGGAGTGGGGTTTGTGGGCTGTGTCACTAGACATAACGAATGCCTTAAACACCCTGCCCTGGAACATCACCGGGTGCCCGCCTATCTCCGGCGCATCCTGGCAGCCTAATTTGGGGACACGGACCTCGCCTATCCGATGAAGATCCAAGGCTGGCGGGTCATGGAACGCGGTGTCCCGCAAGGGTCGGTGTTGGGCCCCTTGTTATGGGACATCGCGTTCGGTAGGGTTTTGCGAACGGCTCTCCCCCACGGGTGCCACGTCATTTGCTACGCAGACGACACTCTAGTGGTGGCCGGGGGAGAACTGGGGGGAGGCTCGCCTCCAGGCGGAGGTGGCTGTGGCATCGGCCGTGGACACCATCAGGGACCTGGGTCTGAAGGTAGCGCGCCATAAAACGGAGGCCATCTTTTCTCACGACGGCAGCCGTGGGGCGCCGCCGGAGACCTGGGTCCTGGTGGACAGAGTCCGCGTCCGCGTCGGACGCACAATAAAATATCTGGGCCTGACGCTGGACGGCCGATGGGACTTCAGGGCCCATTTCAGGGACCTGTCTCCCCGGGTCCGGAAAGCAGGTCTGGCTCTGGCCGGACTCATGCGAACTCAGGGGGGCCCGGGCTGGCACGCTCGCCGCCTGTACGTTGGAGTGGTTTTCTCGATCGCCCTCTACGGGGCGCCCATATGAGCGCCCCAGTTAATGGCCGCCGCCCAAGGCAAAGGGCTGATGCGCCAGGCGTTGAGGGCGGTGGTCGTGAGGGCGATCCGGGGGTTCCGCTCTATATCGTATATGGCGGCGACGACCCTGACCAGCTCTCCCCCTGTGGAGCTCCTAGCAAAGGAGAGGAGCATCCTCTATTGGCAGATAAAGGAGCTCCGCGAGAGGGGAGAGGACGTGTCGGTCAGGGTACAGGCGGCCCTGAAGTCCCAGGTAGTCGTCCGGACTCTCGAGCGGTGGGCGGACGAGATGTTCGCCCCGTGGGAGATCGGGCGGTTGACGACGGAGGCTGTCCGCCCCTGCCTGGTGGAATTCGCAGGCAGGAGGGGTCGCGGGCTAACGTACCATCTGGTGCAGGTGATAACCGGGCACGGCTGCTTCGGTCAATACCTGCACCGGATAAAGAAGGAGCTCACCACCGGGTGCCACCACTGCACGGAGCTGGATGACACCGTGCAACATACCCTGTCCGCATGCGAGGCGTGGAGCAGAGAGCGCGGTGTCTTGGCCCGGGCAGTGGGATGCGGGGAGCAGGAACTCTCGCTCCTGTGTATGGTGCGAGCCATGTGCGGAAGCGAGGAGGTATGGGGAGCGGCGGCCTCCTTCTGTTGCGACGTATGTCGCGTAATGTCGCGGAAGGAGGCCGTCGAATGGGAGTGTCGTCCCGGAAACCGCCGCAGGGGGCGGCGAGAGGAATGGCGCTCCCCAGGAATGGGCAATGGGCCCGAGGGGGCGCCGGTCGAGGAGGACAGGCCGCCGGCTCGTCGGAGGCCGCCTCGGGTTCGTCCTCGGACGCGTGGGGGGAGGGGGTGACGTGCGCATAATGCCCGCCCCCCTAGGCGTCGGTAAGGGTAGATGAAGGGGGATTGGAAGCTCGGTTGGGGCTGGGCTCCACTCCTCCGCCCCCCGCTCCCGGGGGAAAGGGGGGCGCGGAGAGAGAGAGGATGTCCCGTTCCTCCAAGTAGAAACCAGAAGGCCAACCCGACTGGGAAACCAGTCGGGGGACCGCGCCCTGGATTCCCTTTGTGGGACGCGGTATTCGAGGCGAGGGGCTCCCGGAGAGCTCTGGGGCCGGGGTGTCGGGGAGGGAATACGGGAATATTTCCCCTGACTCCCCCCACCACGGTCTGGTTGGTAGACATCCCGCAAGGGTTTTAGTGAGTAGGAGGTAGTAGAGTAGGAGTAGAGTAGGAGGTCACATAACCCCCGATCCCCCCAAAAGGTCGGAGGTATCCATGATGGATTTCCCTGCTTTACCAAAAAAAGAGTACACTGGGGTTCGCCTGGATACCCCGTACCAGGATGCTGAAACACCCTGGCCCCTGATGCCTACCCCCTTCCCTACCCTATCCCCCTCACCACAAAACCCACCCTTCCCTGAACTTTATTCTTTATTCCCTTCCCTTTTCTTTATTCAAATTAATTTCTACCGGTCTAATTATTGGAGCTCGATTATTGTGTTTTCTGTTAGTGCAGTCATCACTGGGCGCCCCGATCCGTCGGCTCCCCGGTTCGCGCCCGCCGTCGGGGACCCTTGAATGTTTCCCTGCTTCTTACGATTATTTTCGATTCTCAAAATGCAATTTTCTATCGTGTGCCCCGTTTCCTTGCAATATCTACATTGATTTGCTAAATTTTGTGTTGTAAAATTGGAATTATTTCCCGATGACCGATTTTCACGACAATTTCGAGCACTATGTCCCGTTCTATTGCAGATTTGACAAATAATTTGGACGTTATTTCTCAGAGAATTTGTATTAATAACTTGTCTTTCTTTACATTGAGATGCTTGATGTCCACGTCGCCCACACCATCGACATACCTCGTTATTAGGGATACTATTTCGATTAGGATTTGAATAACAATTCTTCGCGTTATGACCTGGTTTATTGCACATTTGACAAATAATATTAGAGGAATTACCTCTACAATCTCTAGAGACGTAACCAGGTCTCTGGCAATTTTGGCATATAACCTGCTGATTATTAAGTGAACGGCAATTTTGAGCAGTATGACCGGATTTAGAGCATATCTGGCATGAGACGAAATCGCTTTGTACGATTTTTACCGGCTTTTGTCCGATAGCTTCTCGGAATCTACATTTATCTGCACTATGGCCCCGTTTTTTGCAAATTTGGCAGACTAAGATTTCGGTCCCCAAGGATTTTGTTGTATTTTGCAATATTAGTTTACATTTATCTGCTGTGTGACCGGATTTTTTACATATTTGATCTGTATTGATTTGAAAACCTTGCAATCCACGTATTTCGAAAATATCCCGTAATTCTTTTTCAATTCTTAAAGCTTCTTCTACAGTTGCGGTTATATCTAAATTTCTGGCAATTCTTTGCTCTATTTCAGGCTTCAGCCCTCTGATGAAACTGTGAACCAATTCATTTTCTAATGATGTTTTATAAGAGCGATCTATTGCTCCGTTATTCGTGGTTCGGTGTGCCTCTAATATACGTTTGCCTATTGCTTTCGTTGCTTCTGTTTGCATATGTGAGTACCGTTTCATCGGCCCGTTGGTAATTTCGTCCTAATTCAACTTGTAGTTGCATTAAGCTTTTAGAAGAGCCGTATACATGTTTCAAAAAATTTGTTAACTGACTAATCCGCGAGAAATCCTGGTCTTGTACAGAATGACGAGCGTCGCCAGTTAATCTAGTTTGAATTATTTTAGTCAAATATTTTTCGTTTTCGGGCGGTAACATGGACTTTACTAATTCGCATTCTTCTATAAAATATTCTACAGGTAGATTTTGACCATCAAAGAAAGGAACAGCCTCTACGGCATATCGTAAAGTAGCGGAAGAGTTATTTGTTACTACGTTATCGTTCATGGTTTCTGTGGTTGTAATAAGTTCTAAATTAGATTGTTCTCTATGATTGCCTTGTTCCGTGAGATCTTTTACCGTAAGTTTACTGCTGGGATCAATTTTACTTTCTGTGATAACCAGACGGAAGGAATATAAGGAATTATCAAAAGATTTATACCGCGTAGGTTCAGCGCAAAAACTAGTTTCTTCGACAGATACTTCTGCGATAGGACTCGGGGGTTTATTAGTTCTTTGAGGTGAATGAGTTATACCAAATGCGCTGAGAGAAAGTGGGCTATCACTCAAAATTTTCCGGATAGTTGAAGTATCGGCGTCAGATGTAGGAGCAGGAAATGTTTAAGTGGTATTAGTGGTAGTTTGTTGGTTGTGTGGCACGAATGGTGTAGATGTATGTTGAGGTTGTTCCGATGATTCTAACTCGCGAGGACGACGAAGTGGTGTATTCTCGACAGCTCCGCGGAAAGTTTTTGCCACCTCGTGTTTATCAGATTTAGACCGCGTATTCATACCCCTTTCCAACAGTCACTCTTATTATCCCGGACGAGCCCCCAAAATTTTGGTATGTTATGTCCTAGAGGAGGAGCGCAACTTTCCGTTCGCGAGTAAGGCGAACCTCGTTCGTAACCGCGTGCCAGTGAACGGGTCAAGGACCTGACGGGTCCCTTTACTCGGACACTGACATACGACGAGCGGTCCGTTTTTCGGTCAAGGACGCGAGTCCCTTTACCGGGGATAGGACCATGAGTTGACTGTTGGAAGGTGGGGTGATTTTGAAATTAATTGGTGATAATAACTATTAACAGATTTATTAAAATAAAGATGACAAAATTATATAACGGCACGGTTTGAATTAACAAATTTATTAATAATAGGATATAACGTTGCGGATTGAATTTTTACAGGTTTATTAAGATGAATAGCGACCCAAAATGATGTAATTGAATGGTTTGAACATGACAATTATACTTAGATGAATGAGTGTATGTGTGTGTGTATGAGTGTATGAAATGGAAAAAGAAAAGGATGGGAAAGGAAACGAATATGAATAGGAAGTTCAAGGGTGTAATAAATAAAATAGAAGTAGGAAGATAAAGTAAAGAAAATGAAACTTACTACTGATTCAGGATGAGTTGACACAAGCAGAAGTGAGAATGGCGCAAATCTGCGTAGGTGTTCTCGTTTCCAATATTCGTATTCCGATTGAGGCACTAAATAGTCGTTCACTTATATAAAGAGGAAGCCCGCACTTTTTCCAAAATCCGAATGCTTGAATATTTGAATACTAAATATTTGAATGAACTGGAATTATGAAGATTTGAATCTGAGTCCTAATGCTCAAGATCTGAATATCCGAGTTCTGAATATCTGAGTTTTGAATATCTGCGTGAGAGTGCGGGTCTGAGCTTTTTCGTTTCCGTGTTCTTCTGTCTCTCAGAGTAGTGGAGTCGCGGAGGCGGATTACCGCGGTTTTTATATCAATGATCGGAGGCAGAAACTATCAGGGTGGGTAGAGAGATGGCCCTTGAGGATGAATTGGTCTTAGTGGGAAAAAGTCTCAGCCATTAAAAATTAAGGATGAAGTTAAAAGACATCATGGGAGGAGACGGTTAGTTTTTGGAGATATGAATATGGAAGGGCTAAAGGGTGGAGCGTGGGTGTCTCATAGTTTTAGGTGGATATGATATGATTGGCTGAATGAATTAGGCGTGACAAGCGTGGAGGTGGTGGATTCTTGAGATAGAGAAATGTATACAAGCGGCCGGCTTGAAAAATCAAAATGCCGTAAATCAAAGGCTGAGATCAGATTTTACGACTATCAGTGAAGTAAACTTTGTTGGTTAACTGATAGGGCACATATAGTTTTGGATTGGGAAGATGTAAGTTTGAAGTTTAGAGCAGGAATGCTCTGAGTTGCTTTGTTTTACTGAAGGTTTGTTAGCGCGGAGTTTCAAATTTTTATAGCTAGTACGACGGACACACTTGGCGAACACTACCCAGATATAAACTTTAAACGAAGACGTAGATTTTTACAACAGGGCACTGTTTCCTGTTATGGAATTTTCCCGAATCGCCTTTCATTTGGCGCGACGGCTGTTCGCCAGATGGGTCTGTTCCCTAATTTATATTTATATATGTATATATTCCTAATAGTTATATTAGGAGAATATAAATCCGCGAGAGGAAAGAATTTTTGCTAATTAAGTCTACAGGACGTAACAAACAATTACTAAACAATATATAACGAGGAGCTTAATACTAATTACGGAATAATAATGTAGAAGAACAGGATAGAGGAGAATAATATAATAAATTGTGGAAGAATAATACTGGCAATAATATATATTTAACAATATATGTGATAAAGAAGCAGTACACAATTTGCATGTGAACACGCGCGCGAATAATGAATTTGTATTATATTTATGGTACATATTCGTTGCAAAGGTAATGATTATGGAAGAAATGTGTCGTACACAATGATTTTTTACACCAAGAGCAAGTAATTATAGCAATTTGGCCACAAATATCGCATTTTATGTTTAACCCTTTGCGGTCGGAGCCGCCTGACGAGCGAGCGTCGGTCTCAAATTTCTTTCAGAGGAAACTTGACTCTTTAGTCTACTATACCCATGCATATGTTATCGTTCAGAAAGATAGACGTACTCGAGTCGCTTCATAATACGTCTCCGCAGCTGTAAACTCAATTGGGCGGCTATATGCCGACACGCGTCCGCAACGGTAAAAAGGCTTAGGCGGCTATTTGCCGATACTCGAAAGGGTTAAATCACTTTGAAAGCGTTAATAAACATGATTGATTTTGCAATTCATGTATCACTTCCATCGTAGTACTTACGTCAACCACCACGAAAATAGACATACAAACTTATCATACATAAAATCTAACTTTCATAAAGCGTATACGTATATCTTTTTATAAAGACAAAGCATTGAAATATTGTTATGTATAAATCTATGATTGTTATTAATAACGTTATTATGTATTGAAATCTTTTATGATTACATACTCTCCGTATTGGTATTAATCGCCTATTATTCGAAAAAAATTCGAAGAGAACGTGTTGCGTATATTATCGAGTGTATGCGCTGTGCATAGCATGTTACGGATATACACGGACATTTCCATCTATTTTTCGAAAAGTCCATATCTCAGAAAGTAACATTATTATATATGGTTGGATTCAGAATTCAATGCTCCTTAATTTTTGTCCTTACAAAATTTTTGAAATTTGCGAAAATAATGAGTGGAGGGGGGAGCGGGGAGTGTAAATTTGATATTTTGAAAAATTTGAATTGACAGATGCAAAGAGCATCAAATACTGTAAAACTCTTACATTTACTATGTTTTCATATCTCTCATATTTTAGAAGATATTTGATAAAAACGAAAAAATCCGTTTTTCTTCAAGGGGTGATTTCAACCCCTAAACCTCGAGATAAGCACATATAAAAAAATACGTGTCTAATATTTTTTGATCCTCTACAACATATCCAATGCCCATTCAAATCGGTGAGGGATGCCCCCGACCGTTCTCTTGTTAGTAAGCATAAAGCTTGAAAATGAACAATAAATTTTGGACTTTTCGTCGTTAATGGGTTAAGTGGGCCACCCTATATATGTATATAAGGTAGATTTTATTCAGTACATGCGAACATCTCGAAAAATGTTTTTCAAAAAAATGTTTCAGATAGAAGTTTTATGACTTTGAGGGGGAAAGATGATATTATCAATTTGACTGTAGATGGCTCCACTTTAGAGATTTCATCATGGCTGCTACTTTTTAAATTGGAAATGGATTTTTTCTTAACATAAACGTTATAGCTGATAATAATATCAGTATAACGATTTTCCGTTTTTTTAAT